CAAATCTGAAGCGGGACATCTTTAGAGGATGTTAAATGTATTCTAATGCACAATGGCTCGTAAGTCTTTATTATAAAAGATATATTTTATCATTAACTTTATTTTTTAAAGTGCCAAACAACATAGCTTCAAATTACACAAAATAAATCCAGCAAGAATGTTTGACTAGGTCTCAGTGTGCTGGGCTGTCTGCTTTGAGTCTGGTTTGTCAACCAGCAGCCAGTTTTAGTTAACTGCAGGCAGCAATGGTCAGCTGTTTCCAGACCTGCCTCAAAGTCTTCCAGACGTTATGCATGGGTTCAGTGTGGTAGTCAACGTGCAGCTTTTGCAGCCTGGCTGCTTGAGTGCAGATCTCAGCCCATTACTCTCAGCCAGGTGGCTCCAGCAAGTGGGGAACTACCCTATGTCTCTATCCGGATAAGCAGCTGTATCAGACCAACCTTGCAGGTGGCTGCCCTTGGCCTTTCACTCATGTAAGCCAACAAATCACTTTCAAAGTCTGAACCAGTTTGAGCTGAATTTTATGTCTTTTGCAACCAAACCTATCTAAGCAATGCTGGTTATATATTAGCTTTTACAGAAGATGGATTATTGTATCATTTGTCTAGGAGATCTTAGATATCAAACAATTACAAGGACGGCAGACCGTTTCCAGACACCTAAGGCCTTCTTTCTGACATCAGAAGGCCTCTGAGGGTGGGCTGGCCAAGGTGATTTCTGTCAAGAGGCTGTACCCATTTCCTTAGTGGGTAAAACAAGAATTATTCCTCCTTCCCCTGCAAGAGGCCCCCTGAGGTGGCCTTCAAGGCCTCAAAGCCACCTTGCTCCCTCCAAGACCACAATGTCTGTCCGAATTTGGCACATGTCTATTTCCTGAACTTTACCCCTCCACTCAGTGATTAAGCTCTCATGGTAGAAAGACTTCCTTATACAGATAAGCCAAAAGAAAGGGATAAAATCCCTGGCATCCCACTACCAGGAAACAATTTCTATTAAATAGGTTGGTGTGGAGAATTCCAGCATTTTTGAGGCACACATGCCCTTGGGTATCGAGGATAACTTGGGGTGCAAGTATTGCAAGTTACAAATTTAATGGCTTCCTCCCTATGGTCACGACGTCCAGTGTGGTCAGCTGGGGGCGCTCCCCGCCCTCTCCTGGGATAGCTCAGGTCCCTCGGAGGCCTCCCGCCCTCTGGCCCCGCCTCGCGCCCCGGATCTTCGCGGGGCCCCGCCCGCAGCCAGCGGGTAGGTCTCGCCAGGAGGTTCCACGCTCCCCACCTCCTGCCCAGGCCCCTAGGTTCCAGCCGATTCCACCACCACCCACCCCTGCCTCCTCCACCTCCGACGGCAAAGCTCGACTGTCCCCTCTAAAGCGGAGGTGGTTCGGCGATGGCCTCTGGGTCGCGGGCTGGGCTGACCGCCCTCCGAGGTCCTCACCCGCCAGCAACTCCGTTCTGCTCTGTGATTGCGAGCCCTTGGGGGGCACTGTCCAGCCTGGGGCGGGGGCAGGAATTCCGGGCATACTTGTTAGATTTCGGCGCCACAGAAAGACAAAGCGCGAGGAGATTTCTAATCGGTCACCTGCTGCACTGCAGGGTCTGTTAATCCCCGCGGCCCGAGTCACCTGGACTAGCGCCCACCCCCGAGGTTCGGGTGGAACCCGCCTGGGTCGGGGCCTGGACGCAAGCATTTTTTCAAAGCTCCCCGGGGGGCTTTTCAACGAGCAGCGGGTCTGAGCCCTGTAGGAAAGGACTGAGGTCTAGGCTCACCTAGAAGGTGTAAAATTTATTCCAAGATGTCAGTTTTGTGTCAGAAATAAATGCAAAAATTGCATTCTTCTCTAATGTCTGTGTTCGTTTCGATATAAAAGCAATTGTAAAAGATAATTTTCAGGAAAAGGAAACTTGTCAAGAAGCACACATTTATATGGAGTGAAGGAATTGAATTGCAAACGGAGGCAAAACTGGTTTTTCCACAGGGCAGAGAGACGCGGATGGAAGCTCTGCAGGACCAGACTAGTGCTTGCATAGCCATCAGTGCCTGCAGTTTTGAAAAAGGTGCAAAATAGCTCAAAGATCATGAACTGGGCTAGAAGCAGACAGCATAGAGGTTGTGCTTTAAAAAATGCACAGTGTTTCAGAAGTGTTTCTTCACAGTAATTTAAGAAACCATCTGGAAAAAGTTCTTTGTTACAGTGTTAATACTGCTGGGGTCCCCCAAACCCAAAATACCCAATTTCCAGTCACTCATGAGATAGAACATTTTTCTACTCTCTGGGCTTTGGGGCAAACCCCCCAAATACGCATGGAAGTTACTGTTACAGATAAAGGCAGAGGTTTGAATCTTTTGGGAGATGGTAGGGCGAGGATTTAGGAGCAGAGACCTGGGTTCAGGTCACGCAATAGCTGTGGGACCCCTCTTTTGGGAGCCTCCATTTCTTCGCTTGACTGCGGTAGATCACAGGGTTCCAGAAGCTTCCCGCCCTGCTCCTGCTCAGCTTAGGTGGACAGAGTAAATCTCCTCAGTACAGGCTTTTCTTTGTTAAGGGTTCGGTTCTTTGAGTGGTCTCCTTTAGTTATGTAAATGTGGCCAAGTGGGCACCAATTTCCTGGCTGAAGGCGCAGAAGGGATCTTCTGTTGCCTGACAAAGCTATGCTTCTCAAGGCTTCTAGGAATGCAGAGCTGGTAGCAGGGGAAGTACCTTGCACTCCAAGCTCAGGGCCTTTGGGGAGGAAAGGGCTTGAGACCACCCCTCAACCCCCAACCTGTTCCTCAGGATCCGGTTGAAAATTGACTAGAATTTACTGTCAGGAAAGGCCTAGAAAGTTGCTCTCCGGGGACAAAGAGAACCTGAATTTGTGGGTTTCCCCAGAAGACTGTGTAATCCACTGGGAGTCATAGGGCCGAGCACCCCTAAGTTCCTCTTCTGCTTTTGGGGGAAAGGTGGCTGTGCTGGCGAGGGCGGTTCAGAGAAGCATCACTCTGGGTCTGAGGTGTGGGCCCTGCTGCAGCCTCTGCCGGGAAGATAGCACTGCAGCACCCACAGGGCTGGGTGGGGTTCCACAGTGTCACCGTGTCGCCATGTCAGGGAAGAGGCAACAGCTGAGGAGGGTAGCTCAGACTTTCCAGAGAACACACTTTACACTGAGGAAGCCCTTGAAGTTCCAGGCAGTTTAGGAGTGAGTGGGCTCCAAAAGGAAGAGGTAGGATTTTTGTAGGGAGGAAAGATAATTTTCCCTCTACCCTTCTAGGTTCTTGGCTGAGACCCTTCCCTATAATAAAAGATTAAAAGGGAAAAGCAAACAGAAATTTAGTAACATGTGTACCTCCTAGATGCATGGAAGATATCCAGGAAAACTCTCTGAAGTGACCCAAGCTGCCACCTGAAATACCATTGTCAGTTGAAGACCAAAGAAACGTGGTGGGGGGAGCATCAGGACACCCCACCCGGCCCCTCCCATCTCCGGCACTGTCCACCCAGGCAGCTGGCTACGATGACGCCCTGAATTTTTGCACTTCTGGGTGTCGCATGTGTCCCTGGCCTGGACTGTCCCTCCTTGCCTTTTCACCACAGGCAAGTGCCCACTCCTTTAAGACACAGGCGAACTGTCAGGCCCAGGCCTGAAGGCTGCTCCCGCCCTTGTGCTAGGGCCTTCCTCCCTTCCTTCTTGTGTGCTAATGCTGGCGCCTCACCCCTTACCCAGCCCTCTCTGCCAGCCCAGCCTGGGCCCCTGAGGTCTGAAACAGAGTCAGGAGCAAGGGCCCCGGAGGGGCAGAGACTGAGGAAGTTCCCAGGCTGGCAGTCTGCTGCTGCCACTGAGAGCTCCCCGTCCGTGGGGCCCAGCTGGAGACAGAAGGAGCCCAGAGGAAGGGTTGTGAATCCAGGGCTTCTGCTTCTTGTCCCTCTGCTCTCAGGATCAAGTCTGAACAGCCTCCTGCAACCCAGAGGCCTGAGGTTCCCAGCAGCCTTCCCTTCTGACAAGCCTGCTCTGCTGCCTTCTACCCACCTCCACCCCCACCGTGGAGGAGCTCCTGTCCTAAGGTCTCTGGCCTCCCTCCCCTCGTCCTGCCCACCCTTCCTTCAGGTGGCAGCTGAGCACAAAGCCTGCCTCTTGACCCCCACCCAGGCCCTGGGTCCAGTGGCACTTCCACCTCATCTCCTGGCTCTTGCCCTCACTGCACTGAGCTCTGAGAAGGCAGAGGCCCCAGTACCCCACCCGGCTTTCTGTCGCCCCTGGCTTCATTGGGTAAGTGATGGACAAACAGTGCCGACGACCTGTGTGGTCACAAGGCCCCACCTCAGAAAGGCCCTGTGCTTGGTTTCACTCTGCTGTGGCCCTCTTGAAATTCTTAACAGTCTAAGATGCTGTGTTATATTAGGATCCAGCCACTCCTACCACTCACCTGGAGGAGAGGCCTAGCGTGGACATTAATAAGTGACTCTCTTGGGGCATCTGACCTACTGGGTGCAGGCTGGGAGCTACTGGCTTGCTTATTACAGCCCTAATGCCCCTTCTGGGGGTGGCTGCCCTCGCCACCCTGGAAGTAAGCAGTTTAAACCAAGGTTCCCTGCACAGTGCAGTCCCCACAACAACAGACCCCACAGAGCTGTTTTGATGCTTCTGGTCAACCTTATCAGCTCTAGGTTGGCTGAAGGAACATCAGGAAGCCCAGCAGCCCCAGCATGCCCCACCCACCCCCACTCGCTGAAACACCAGCCTCAGGGGCAGCTCTGGCCTCCCTGCCCCACCCCCAGGAGAAAGCTGTTGGCTGTAGGTCTCTTGCACGCCCACCCCCAACAGCCCCCAACAGGGGGCGTCTTTCTTGACTTTGCCCCTTGTGGCCTCTGCTTTCATCCTGGCTCTCACCTCCCTCTAAGGCCCGTCAAAGGGTCCTTGTGTACCCACCAGCCAAGAACAAGGAACAAGCTATGTCTTCAGAGATATCCAGCAATTTTGGCCCCACACAGACCCTCCGATGGAAATGGCAACAGGAACTTTGACACCACAAGAAAACCAGTCCCCTTTTATTGAGAAAATAGAGTTGATCATTCAATCTTTTTCCAGGTGACTCCATCCTAAAGGAGGTGGCATCCTTCTGCAGCCACCCCAAGGACCCCTGAGCCTGAGTTGGGTGGCCCATGAAGGCCACTCCAGTCCTTCACAGGGGCAAATGCTGGTCTGCTCAGGCTCTAGAGAAGTAGGCGTGCAGGTTGGGCAGGGTTCTGGAGGGGGGCTATGATGGGCATGGGGGTGCCCAGGGTAGGGGTGGGGCTGGGGGGGGCAGGAGTGGCCGGGCCACGTGGTGTCTTGCTGAAATGAAGGAAGGGAAGGGATGAACATCACCAGCTCCCGAGGCCTGGCACCGTCTCCCTCCAAATTCTTCATAAATAAAACTTCACAGTAATAGAGGAATGTCCACTTCCAGGGTCAAACGGGCTGGTTTCTGGCTGGGGAGCCAGGCCTCCACGGGGCTGCAGGAGGGCCCTCGACCTGGGCTGGTTGGGCAGCACCGTGAGCGCCGGGGCCAGAGCGCTGCCCCCTGGCCCTGCGTCAGGGGTGAGGTGGGGCAGCAGCCCATCAGGAGGTTCTGAGGATCGCTGAGGTAGTCAGAGCGGCGGGTTGTGCTTCCAGACGGGGCGTCACAGGACGCAGCCAGGAGTGAGGCCACCTGGGGGTAGAGACTGGGCAGCCAACTCCAGATAGGTCTGGGAGGGGGTGTGTGTGCTGAGGACCTTCTGGGGCTCGGTCCCCAGGAGACCTAGGGGTGTAGGGGGGCCTGTGAGCCTGCACAGGGTCGAGCCTCTCCTGAAGGGGCACCTCGGGCCCGTGGGGAGACAGGCATTTCACAGAAGGAGAATCTTCTCGGTGAAAACAAGAGGGCAGCCACAGACCCATCCAGGGCCAGGCCTAGCCCAGGTACCTGAGCACAGGGTTCCTTCAGAGGCCACCAGGGCCTCCCACCAGGTCAGAGGGAGCCAGGCAACCCACTCAGGTTAGGAAGGTGGCCAGCAGCCAGGGGCCTTGCTCCCCAGAGGACCTTCTCCGGTCTGGGCAGATCCAAACGTTCCCGGGCCTCAGCTCCACTTTCTGGAGAGGGTCCCCTAGGGAGGACCCCTCTGGCTACCTGCACTCTACCACACCTAGGGGCGTATAAGGCCCAAGCCTTCCACCTCCCTGCAGGGGACCTGCTGTGCCCTGGCACGGCAGCCCCATGGTTTGCGGGGCTCAAGGGCACAAGCTCTAGCCTATCTTGGCGGCCTGGCCGGGGTCAGAGCACCTGGAGCTTGCGGGAGCAGGTGAGGTTGCCATGCACTAGCCCCCACATGGCCAGCAGCTCCGTGGGCAGCAGCTTGTGCACGACAAGCATGGAGCGGAAGAAGCAGGGCTCTTTGTTCATGCGGCTGTTGCGGTTCCTTGAGATGCCGAAAGTCTTGAAGCCCTCGTGGGCCGTGGGCCGCACACCCAGCACCTCCAGGCACATGCCCAGGAAGACGTCGTCAATGGGGTACAGCTCCAGGGTGTCGCAGGCGTGGTGCAGGCGCCGGGCCAGGCCCCCAGCCATTAGGAAGCCCCCTCCGCCTGCGTATGGCGGGTAGCTGGCCTGGCTGTACAGGACCCCGGGGATGTAGTATTTGTTATCCTTCCTGCGGATGGGCCGAGCGTGCTGCAGGACGTCGCCCACGAACAGGTCTTCCTGTGGCCGCCGGTCAGCCAGAAATTCCAGCAGGTTGGTGGGGTGGACAAAGACGTCGTCGTCGCCCTTGAAGATGAAGCGGACATTGGGGCAGTAGATGTCAAGCCACTTGAGGAAGTGGATCTCCTTGAGGGTCAGGTTGAAGAAGCTGTCGAGAAAGTCCCACTGCAGGATGTCACCGTAGATGCGGTCCTCGTAGGCCAGCAGCTGCTGGTAGTGGGCCCGCTCCTCCTGCTTGGAGGCTGTGCCCAGCAGGAAGAGGGTGCGCACGGCGCCGCGGCCCCTACCCGCTGACTCCTGCTCGCGGCCCCAGGTCTGGCGGATGGCTTCGCGGCGGTCATGCTGTGTGATGATGGACTTGACAACCACCAGCAGGTAGACGTCGCCATTGCACTTCTCTGGATGGTTCAGCAGTATGGGGAAGTATCGGCAGTGGCGATAGAACAGAAACTGCTGGAAGTGTGGCTCCAGGCCCTGGAACCAGGGCTGGTGTGTCAAGTTTATATTGGCTGAGCAGTTAATGGTGGTCACGTCCCAGGCCTGGGGCCCCTGTGAAAACGTGGGTGCGGGGGTGACCACATCCTTTGGGTTCTTCCAGAAGTTGTCAGGGTTCAGCCGGTGTCCGCTTGGTTTTTGGGCCTTCTGTAGCCCTAAGGTGGGTGGTGGAGGCTCCTGCAGAAACTGGCTGGGGGTCAGACTGCGCTGGAATACTGTTACGGCCACAAGCAGGGCCAGGGACAGGCACACACTCTTGTAGATGGTTCTCTTCCTGGGGATAGGGGTGAGGTGGGGAGAGGATGGTACAGAGAAGAGAATAAAGGATAAGTCCCTTTGTACAGAGGTACAGTCACAGATGGGCAAGTGGACTCTGGGCACAGGCTCAAGTCCCAGGCCTCCTGAGTGGTCAGAGGAGGGTCCTGCTTTCTCTCCCATCCTGACTTTTCTCCTCCAGGGCCAGAGGAGACACACAACACAGAGCCTGAGTCTAAGCACTCTGGAGCCAGATTGCTGGGATTCAAATTGTAGTCTAGCCACTTTCAAGCTAAATGGAGAGGTTGAGTGGATCTCCCTTAATCTCTCCAAGTCCTATTTCTTCTTTCCCAAAATGAGGATAACAACACAGGGTTGCAGTGCTATCTATAGTGCCTGGCCCACGGTGGGTTTGGAGTCAGGGGACTGCTGTGATTCTACAAGGATGACCTCTGCTCTGCTCCCTGCTGCCTGCAAAGCACTTTGTTTGCTTTGTGCAAACCTGGTGAAACATTGGGGTGAGCTATTGGGAGGGGCAGAGACGGCATCTGCTCAAAAAGTGTGGGGGACATTGGGGAGCAGGCTTTAACTTGGGATCTGAAGAAGCCTGACCCTTCCCTGTACCCCACATCCATTTGACTTAACCAAAAAAAGAACAGCTCTCATGGCTGACAGAGGCCTGAAAACGGGGTGGGCACCTCCTAGCATGTCCAGTGCCTCCTCAGCCCTAGTCTGGGCCTCACTGGGAGAGGTGAAGTCCTGCAGTTCTGCTGCCTTGGGAGGAGGATAGTTGGACCCCTACTCTCCAGGGATCCTCGTGCCCAGGTTACCCTGCCACAGCCCTTTCGGAAGCAGAAATCAGAGCTTTTTGCCAAGAGGGCTGGCAGGGCCAGGGTCCTGAGTCCCTGGACCCTAGGACCCTCTCTCCTCAGCTCACACTCTGGAGGTAGCCAGGCTACCTGACTTGGTTTCTCCTGTGGAGACACAGGTGCTGAGGGCTCCAGGGAAAAGGCAGGCCAGAAAAGTGTGGCTTCACAGAGCCAGGCCAGCAGGGAGATGGCCCTGAATGCCCAGAGGGGAGATTCACGGCAATGGTATGGAGACTGCGAAGTTGTGAGACAGGGAGGTGGTGGAGAAGCCTTGGGTGGCCTCAGGACCAGCTGGTTGAGGGTGCAGGTACCCAGGGTCAGTGTAGGCTGAGCCCCATGGCGGGACATTTTTCCATGGGGTCCCAAGGTTTCCTGTGTATAGCGCTGGATCGAGATTGGATCACCTGAAGCGCTGGGGTTGGGGGGTAACCCAAGACCCTACCCTCCCAGCAGGGAGAAGGAGTGCTCTGGGGCCAGTTCTCCCGCCCTGGGAGTTTCCTGCGAAGTGTGCCACACTCCAGTTGGGCAGGCCAGACGGGAGGAAGTCCAGCGGGGGTCACCCGGAGGAGGGGGAATTGGCATGCCCCTCCACCCCAGGCGGGTTCCACTTGCAACGCCCCACTCCATTTGTAGGAAAAAAGCCCCCAAGGGGAGGTGAGGGGGTCTGGCGGAAGGCCTGAGCTCCCGGGGAAGGAGAGCCGCTCTGCTCCGAGATGGGGGTTGAGGACCAGGGTAGCTCAGGACGCAGGAGGCCCTCGAGATGGGGGACGGGACCCAGCAGCCGGCAAGACCTTGGCGTCCCCAACTCCTCGGATCCCAGAATGGGATCTGGGTGCCTTGGGGCCCGGGGGTAGGGTAGCAGAGGGGCCGCCAGGGAGGGCTGAGCGCACCGGCCCGTGGTTCCCAGCTGCCAACCGGCTAGTCCAGGAACCGTGAACTCCCGGACATCTCCGACCGCCGCCGCGCCACCCCATCTGTGTCCGAGAACTGAGGCCAGCCCCGGGAAACCCAGTGCGGCACCCCCATCTTGTGCTCCCTGGACTCCCGGG